ATGAAAGCAGTGAGAAACAACCAGGACATCAATAACCTACTATGGTGAAAGACTGGATGGCTTTCTTGATGTTTGACAATATGTTGAGAGGAACCCAGATCTCTTGTATTGAACTGATTTCAATTTGAAAACACCTAAACAAGTCTCCAATGAAACAAATCTAACCTAACTCACACTCACACTCTCAAAACAAGCAAAGAAAGAAAAACGCACAAACACATATTGATTCCATCATGAATAGATTATGAAATGTCAAATTGCTGGTATTCACTTTGATAAAATTAAGGTGTTTTCTGAGGCTGCAAAAATCAGTTCATGCGTCTAAATAGAAATTTGTTTAAATTATTGGGGTTAGTTGCAACTCTGACTACACCATTTCTATCTGTACTCATGACTGTGGCAAGCCGATCAATTGAAATATTTATTCTACCTGGAGAATTGGAAAATTTAATTATGTTTTAGTACCACCAAGATATAATATATAAAAAAGAGGGCTCACTTGCTGAAAGTTCATCATCAACATGATTGATTGTCTGGGCTGGAGCTTTTTCGACTGTGTATTTTTTGATATTGAGTGCACTTTCTATCAGTCATCATATTATCAGCTGTAAAACAAATTCATGATTCTTACCATTTGGCTCCTTTGTAATCAATGGTGATTTATTTCTTTCCTCATTCAACCCACTGGGATTACCTTCTTTCTTAGAATCTATGTTTTGTATTGATTGGAGATGATAGATTGAATGAGTCCCAAAAATTATGTGGAAAAAGAATAGACTATTGATTGGAAAGACATGATTTTTTTAATCAGTGGTTTATTAATTACTCACCTGGTAGAAGCTCATGCCCATCTACATTCTTCTTATCAGCTATCAGGTCCAAGGACATGGAATCAACTGAGGGATCCAGCATGAATGACTAATCAGACTACCAAAAATTCCACTGACTTTTTGAGACATTTAGACTTTCATCTGCTTTTCCCATGTTTGAACCCATAGTATCTATAATTTTTGATTAATGAAATTTTATTATATTTAGTTATAGAAGGTTCAAAAGCAGATATAAAAGATTGAAATTAAAACCACTTACCAAATTCAAAACCATGTGTGCTACTTAATCCAGCTGATCTCCAGAGTTTGGGCAGTAATTAAAAAAAAAAAAATCAGAGTCATTTGCAACTCTCAAAATCATCATTCCCCGACATTCCCAAAACTAACCTTCTGCATGTGAGACTCCTTCAGAAACCATCAAATTAAGATCATCAGTAAGTAAAAATCAAGAAAAGAGCAGAGCACATTCCAATATCAGATACATACCTGTAGAAATGGTTTGTTCCAGGTGAACACCTGAGGCTGCAGGCAGTGCCCTCTTCACTAATGGGCTCACGGATAAGATTGGGTGCGTTGAAACACTATAGCATCCTAATAAATGAAGAGCAAATATGATCTGGATTAAGAACATGGTCGTGGAGACTTGATTTATTGACACTATATTTGGAGAAGCAACAGATGATAGTAAGTGGGGTGAAGAATACGATGAGAGTTGGATATTACAGTCGAAGAACAGGTCCTTTTGTAATCTAAGCTTTCTGTCTGCACTTGGTTGGAGCAAGGTACAAACACAAGAGAAGAAGCGTTCTCAGGCCGAGCCTGTGTCACCACGAAGGCCATTCCTCTGCATGAGACGATGAGACGATTGTATAGCGGTCTGGCCCAGAAGTTAATCTCAGAAAAAAGCCGAAGTTTCTCTATTGGTGTCCTGGTTCTTGCTTTTCCTCAGATTTTGTAAGATGCAAAGTTGATCTTCCTTTCCCTAAGACAAGTGAGTGCCAATTGGAGAGCGCTGTCTTATGTGTGTCTGCGGCCTCCATCTTTTGGAATGAATCGCTAAAACCCGCTGTGCATAATGCGGACAAGCTGTGCAAACAATTTATCCTCTCCATCAGGCACATCGATTCATCATCTTTCAGTGACGTCACCCAAACATCGGAAATCGCAGTGTTGGTTGAAGCCGACGAGCTGGATCTCGTGATCAACGGGGAGGTTTAGGTCAGTAAACGGTTAAACCGCTTTCTCTCTTGCCGTCGAACATCTCAATCTTTCGAGGTCTCATCCTACCCTATCCAACCCCTAGTCCTTATAATACCTCGTGAATCTTTCATTTTCGATGTGATTGTCATTTTGCATCTGATGTGGGCTTCACTCCGAACGTACTCAAGTCCCTCCGAGGTGGGCCCTTCGCGCGATATCTTTCGGAGGGACCGCTGAAGTTCGGCTTCACTCCCAATTCAACAAGCAGTCGTTCATCTCAAAATCCGATAAATAATACAACGATATTACCTTCTTCCCCGAATTTCGGGGAAGAAGGAACTGGCCCGAAACCCGAGCGAACTTGGCTACAATGATCCTTCCGGGACGTCGTTAAGTCCGGATGTGCAGTGAATACTTGTCCAAGAGGGGACGAGGCTAAATTTATGTAAGAGTTTTGGGCGTCAGGAATCGCTCGAGGATTGGGGACCTCAGGGTATGTATTCCTTTTTTTGGCAGAGGGGCGATGATGTGCAGGCAATGGGCCTTTGTTGGGGTCCCATCATAGATGGTAGGATTCTCTAGGGTCTCCGGCCCAGGTGCTAATACCGGGCGCAAGAGGCGCTTGTGTTGAGCTAGAGTTGTATGGTAAACCGGATGCTGTTAAGAAATGTTGACCTCAGGGTGCTTGGGAAGACAGGTTACGAGTCACATAAATGCTCTACTGTAGAGCCCAATGATGGCCGACGGACACAACCACTTCATCCTTCCGCTGTCCGCATTCTGAGACTATTATAGACCTTTGCCATCGATTCATCTTGTCTTGACAAATCCATTACCGCCATGTTCCTCATGACCTTCTTCCAGAAAGCACACATCGGTTTGGCTTTCTTGCCTATCATGACCATCCTCCATCTTGGTCAGCTTGCACCTGTCGATGGTACAGAGGTCAACTGTCTACCACACTTCGATAGTGAATACGGAAATCCGACTGCCTGTAAGAATTCATGATTCCCAAACATATCATGTTCTTGCAGTATATTGAAGGTCCTAACCCTACCTGAACATCTTCTCTGACTACCTTAGCCTGTTGGTTCAACCCTTATAAAAAGACCGATTGCAAAAAAACATCCTGCAAGTCATTTAACAATCCGGCCCTTGGTTGTGAGTTGGAACTTGATTCCTTGTGTCAATGAGAATCGAGGCATTTAACGACAGACTAATCACGCTCCTTTCTGCTTTCGCCATGCGGCCTCGCGGTCAACCGACATCAGTTGGTCAACTCGTGTATTCAGGTTGCGTCAACGACGATCTTAAAAAAACAAATGTAGAGGTAAATCCAATTCATTATCACCATTACCCTTTCGGGGATGGAAAATGGATGCCGGGTAGCTCGGGATTTGTTGGCAAGTTCTTTCTTTCTTTCTTTTTTGATAATTGTTTGAGTGAAAGCTTAATATACGAACTGATCACATGCAATAATTTTTTCTGGGTTGCAGCCGCCTATGACAGGACCAGTAAAGCTTGGTATAACTGCGCATATAGCCAAAGCAGGGACAACTCAGATACCTACAGTGAGCTCCTTTGCTTCTTGTACTAAAATCTGCTTAACAAACGCAAAAACTAATCATGCTGTCTTTGGTCAACAAAAGTCTGCTCAGATTGCAAATGATAGACCCCACAGGTTGGCACAAGAACAGTTGGTCGAAATCACACCTCGAACATGGACAGATGCCTATTTCATCCTTATTGTCTTTTCATTGTAAAATCATCACCAAAAAAAATTATTGTTTCAAACTGTAAAAACTTGCTATAGACATTACTTCCAATAAGAAAATTTATCACAAATACTGATTGTTGATGTGTGAAACAACAGTCTTAGTGTTTTGCTTATCAAGGGACTGCAAGCCAGACAGATAAGGTCAGAGGAGCTTAAACCAACTTTGTCTTAGGCCAAAAGGCATTGACAGAGGTGACCAAACAATCTGGTGTACCACCACAAACACCAATCTTTACCGGTCAACTAGAAAGATCCTAGAGAAGTGGAGCGAAATTCACTTTGCTTGTCACTTTAACGAAGCGCAGCAGTTGCAAAAAAAGAAAGATGTAATGTTTTTTATGGTGGTTTGCCCAGGTTCTGCACTCCAAAATGAATGGCCATAAACAACTGGTACATGTATATATATAGCCTCAATTAGGTCAATGTATGTACTTCTAATTTGATTTGATTAATGTGTTCACTATGGATCCAATGCGTCAACAAGAAGCCCAAAATATCCAGAAATTCTTGAAGATCATTGATGAATTCTTTAGAAAAGAACCTGATCAACCTTTCTTGAATGGGACCAAACGAAGTATTGGATGTAGAAGTGTCTTCTTTGCAGAGATCCCAAGGGGCCAGGGATCCGTTTTTGTGAACCACGCCGATGATGGGCAAGCTATCCTTTGGATTAAAGATCATCTCATTGAGCCATTCGAAAAGCTTCTGCCTCATCAAGTTATGCGAATTTTGGGAATCCAGTTTTGAGTTTTTATCCAACAGCTGCAGATGAATGAAATCCAATGCGGTACTCAAGAGCTTAAAATTCCTGCTGATTGATGATGGAGTAACCATCTTCTTCTCAGGCAAACTGAGGATCCTTAGCGGCTCAACAACTCCGATCGGTTGACTATAAAAACAGAATGCAATCGGCAGCTTGGGGTGACAAGTCTTTGCATTTAATTTCTTGTTATTCCTTCCAGTAGTCACTTCAATTCTTTGACATTCCTGGGAGAAATTGGACCGTGCTTGTTTCACAAACCTGTTCTTGAACCGAGAAATCATAACCCAAAAATCATCATCATCTATCTCCAGCGTTGATATAAATCTCATTATCTCTTTGTAGGTCGCATTTATTCTTAGTTGGAAACTTTCATCTTCCTTTTCTTTAATTGAAGATGGCTGACTCAGCGCCGAATAATCAACTACATGCAGTTTTTTTTTCATAGACGTAATAGAATTCATGTTAACCCAATATTGAGTAGTTTTGTTTATGGATTTGTTTGTTTTTAGATGAAATCGACAAACCAACTCACTTTTATTTTGGGTGAGATACGTTTCAATTAGATACGAGGCAGCCGGTTTGGCAGATCGATTATCACGGCCAACACCAGCAAAGTATCTTATCAAGAAAATCTGAATAGGACCCAGATGATGATCTGAGAAATCAGATTTCCAAACTGGATAAGGGGGCACAACTAAACCGAAAACCGGATCACTACCACTGGGTTCAAAAAGCTCTTGAAGGAGCCAATTGAACAACGGTCTTTGGTGAGTTTTGTAGTCGGCTATTGGGATGTTGTGTTCATTCAAAATGATTTCATGAAGCTCATACATCCAACCGATCAAGAGTTTGTAAATCATCAACAAAACACGTCGATCCTGTGAATTGCCATCGGATTCTTCCAGGATCCTTGTCACTCTAAGCGATACTTGATTGGCACTAGGTTTTAAACAGAACGGCAAGCTCGGATGCTTTTGATCATTAAGCGGTGCTCGTTTGGCATTGTAATCTTTGTCGAACAATTTATTTTGAAAGATTTCATAGAATTCATCAAGAAACGGCTCCAGAATCGCTCCATTGGGTATGACGCATGTCGGCTGGAAGCATTCCTGATGTTGTTTTGATTCATGTGTTATTGTATTGACCTCGGGGCTCAGCAGAACATCGGGTTCCGTATGATTTAATGACCGGTCGTCCAAACTATCATGGTCTCTACTCTCGGTTGGAGTGCGTTCCTCGATTCCTAGGAACCTCGGTTTGATTGAACCCTGGTTAGCTTCCGGTTTGGATATCGGAACAGACAAGGACGATCCTAAGGGCAGTTGAAACTCACCGGCATTCGACGGGCCACGAGAAGGGGGAGGAAAATGTTGAGCAATTGACTCGGAACTCGAAAGTTGGGTTTGATGATCGTCTTTGCGTTTCGTTCCCGATGTTCCCGGCGCCGTCAGGGTGTTGTCATTTCGAGATGAAGACGAGGCTGGATTCGGAAGGATAAAGGAAGGCTGGAAGAGCTGATGATTTAGAGGATGGATGTGGGAGGCTTGCCAATCTTCTTCCAAGTCGATTGAAGTTAAGTATGTCGTATCCGGATAGATCAATAACGGGTAAAAGAACAGATCATCGTTTGCCAGAGCTTTTGCAGGTTCTGCGGTCCGAATTAGCTCTTCAATCGGATGACCAACGGCTTCTGCGGTCTTGAACTGATAAAATGCCCATATGATTGAGTATAGCGAAGCACGACGTATCGAACAGATCTCGTGGGTTCTCATAATTTCGAGGATGATGACCTGGGCTTACAAAACTATGTAGGAACAATTCTCAGCAACTGAAACTTGAGAAAGCAGTTATATTATATGTATGTGATACTTACTGCCGGCGCAGTGCTATGAATGCAAGCCAGGCTGCGCGATCGATCACTTGACGGATATTCGGCTTGGATTGCAAGATGGTCGATCCGAAATCAGTCTCATCGGGCGGGGAATCGTGTTTTGGTTGAACCATTGTCGGTTCAGCGAAGTCGGCTGGAGCATTTTGGTTGTCTCAACGGCTGCATAGTGTCCACTGTCCTGCATGCTGTGGAGGCCGGCCGACAGTCTTGACGAAGATTGAATCTATGTGGGTGCCGAGTTGTATGTTCCTGGTCTGGTACTGTATCACGGCCAGATGGGGCGGTGATGTCATTAGGTTTCACCGTCCGATTAGACCCCCTTGACACACCCACAAGTGAGCCAGGACCCTTGGAGTCGGCCAGAGGGTATATAAAGCGCCCTTCTCCGTTACCTCTCGCTTTTTCCTCATGACCAAAGTGAGTTGCATTCCCCTACCCATCCTCCTCCTCCTTCTCCTCGCCTTCCCTGGTTTCAAGCACCCTTTACTGACCCTTACCCTTTCTCCCGCCCTCAGCTCTTCAGGATCTATTTACAGTAGATACCCGATCGTTTGTCTCACTAGCTCAACCGAGCCACAGTGTTTATAAGTGACGATGATTCGAAGTTGTCTATTTCGTTTGAGCGAGAACTGTCTGCTCGACCCTTAGTGGTCGACAGACTCGATGACCTTGGGCCATTCTTCCACCACCTCTTTCTTGTTTGATTGGGGATTGTCGTGCTTGCCTTGGCCTCTCGAGGTCTCTGGTCTTGCTGTGGGAATGGCCAGAAATAGAAACTCTTCTGAACTTACAACAACAGCTACACGCTTGTAAATAGACACATGCCCCTTTGTACCCTTTGCAATTATTTTCTTCCTCTGTCATTTGCGAACCTTCGACGCGCCATCTGAGACTAGTCAAACCCTCCTAACCACATACACCCCTTGGTGGAAAGAACTTGCTATGTGGCCTGGCAGGCTATGTGGCTATCAGGATGAGCCACAGGCAGAAATGACCATTTGTTGACCGTTTTACGGCGCGCTTGATCTGTACCCCTCGGACCCACAATGAACAGTTTGGCATCTCAGTCCATACTGAAGGTCACCGTTGATAATAATGCGCTGATGATCAGTCACCACGCTTATAAATTATGGATGGCTCGAATCTTGCGCAGTCGGAGTCCTTCGAAGAGGTTCAGCTTGTCTTGGATCGTTATCCTTTCCTTTTGATATGAAGAAAAGATTTATCCCTCCACGTAGGCTAAGGTTAACCCCAGGACTTGGCTTTTCTCAATGGGAGAAGCAACTCCTCCTATGTAACCCGTCACATATTCAAAGATAAACAATCAACTCATCACACATACAACAAAGACTTTGGAAGAGGTAAAAAGAAATAATCCACCACGGCGGGAGGGCAGTGTTTTCAAGGTGCACTTGATCCCGCTGATTCCGCTGGTTTTGCCTTCTCGAAGAACCGTTCAGGAGGCAATTGGCCAGGGTGGTTGGTTCTACACAAGCCTTGGGGGATCCATGCGGTTGTTTCGCACTGAGGGCAGAAGTATACTTTGACAGAGATTTCGCCAGTGCAATCGACTTCAGGCTCGTGGAGCTGTCCGCAAGTCTTTGTTATAGTTTCCTTCGTGAACTTGAGGCCTCGCGATTTGATATGTGGGTTGTCTCTCTCGCAGACTTTACAAATTTTCCAGTATCCTGAGCCCCCGGCGTCAACCGGGCCTAGTATCCACAGGAAGAGGGTGCAGATAAGCCCCAGACGGAGGGCGCTGAACAGGCTGGGCATCTCTCTGGCTTGTCTTGCAAGTTGTGAGGGCAGTCAATCGAAATGGGGATTCGATCTCGGTGCTTGAGGGAGGTATCTATGCACGAAACGCGGCGGGCTCTTGTCCAAGCGGAGTGAGACTTCCACTATGCCAGTAAGAAGGCGTGGTGAGCCAGCTCATTGATGTACCATCTGAAGTCTGTGTTGGAGCTGGTTATGTACAGGCCAAGTTGGCGGTCCCATTCAGCAGCGGCACCGAAGAAAAGTGAACCCGATGAGCTCCGGGCCCGGCTGGGACGGCACTCGGTGCTGGTCGGGGGACCTTCTCCGGGGAGATCAGCGCTTGCGTGGATCAAGGCCCCCGCCCCGTGGCTTGTCTCCCCGGTCGGGTGGGGCAGCTTGCGATGACATCACTCTCAGAAGAACCCCACTTGGAAGCAAAAACCTCAAAACAGAACCACTTCAATCAGCACACTCTCAATGAACAACGAACAACAACAACAGCAACTCAACCACCAGCGATCATCATCATCCATCCAACATCGACCGAACAATAATAACATCATCAGATCACTGCTCACCAAATCACCCATCAAAGCACAATCCACTACCAACACTACTACTAGCACTAATATCACTCTCAGTCTATCATCAACACCGCAGAACATTCCTCAAGAGCCACCAGCAACAGCAAGATCCATTCAAAAGAAGACACACCCTGAAGAACAAGCAACTCAACCCAGAAAATATCACATTCTCACTAATGCAGGCAAGCCAGTCTGGTCAACAGAGAAGGAGGACGAGGATCGACCGGATGGTGACCTGACCAGTCAGATGGGTTTAATCCAAGCCGTCATCTCCATCTTCGAGGCAGACGACCACGACCAACTCAGGTTAGTTCTCTCTCAAACTGCCTCTCAAATCATCTCGTAACCCAAAAAGTAGCACCCTCTCATAGATATATCGATGCCGGGCAAACTAAGATCGCAGTCATGTCGAGACCTCCCTTGTATTTCTTGGCCGTCTCTAACTGGGGTGAACCTGAATCAACCGTAAGATTTTACAACAAAATTTGTTTTACACATACTGAAATTAACCAGTTGGTTTCGGTCATCACAGCTTCGAATGCATCTAGAATATTTAAACCTATTAATCCAATCGATTCTCTCGACGACCCAACTGCAGAAGATCTTTGAGCAACGGCCGAATTACGATCTAAGAGGAGGATTGAGTGGCACGGAGTCGATCTTCAACGGCCTAGTAGATCGACTCCAATGGGATCTCAGTATCATGATGGCCAGCTTGACAGTCTACAGATGTCCCCCTCAGATTCGCGATCGGATCAGTAAACTGATCACCCCGCTCAATCACTCTAATCTGCTCGAGCCTCAAAACGATTCGTTTGCTCGGAAACTCTTGTACTCTATCGTCATCTCGAACGCTCAAGTCGTCAGCGTAGTTCTGACCCAAAAACCATAGCGTTCATCCCTCAGGTGTGTAATAAGATCCCCCCCCCCTTTTTTTAAGTTTATTATTCCATTCAAGCTGACTTTTTTTCGTTTTGTGGGTTCGAAAATTGATGTCAGATTTACAAATAATCATGACGACGATCCTCTCATCTAAATCGATCAAGAGTTCAGAATCATGGATTCCGATCTGCTTACCGGGCTACAATCCCACTGGATTCTTGCATGCCTATGTGAACTTTGAACCGGGCGGCAAGGAGGTAGGCTTGGTCTTGATCTCCAAGGATCGGACGGGCTTTTACGATGCACAACGCTGGGCGAGAGAGATCTTCAAGGATCCGATTTGGGCTGAATTCCATCGTCTGCGATCCCCTCTCCATCCTGATCCTCCTTCTTCTCTTCTTTCCACTTCATCATCTTCATCATCCTCATCCTCTTCAAAAAAACCTGAAGAAGACCATCAGCCGAGTTCTCCTCCTCCTTCGGTCCAACCGCTACCCTCTTTGAAAAACCCTGCGTGCGGCCAATATTTCTTGGAAGATCCCGGGCATCCCCGGCCTCAGACACTTCATCTTTAAGGATAAGAAGTTTGTTCAAGTTAGCTTTCCTGCATGGGAGGACGACTATCTGATCGAATCTAATCGCCAAAGGTATTTCTTTTGTAATAACTCTTTTTACTTTGATTTTGTTTGTTTGAAAGTGAACGATCGAAGGAAATCTCTAATGATAACATTGTTTGATACTTGATTTATGATCCGGAAATATATCAATAGATTGATGACCAATTATCAGAAAGCTTTCGATTTAATTCATCCCAAACAACCCAAACTGATCAAAAGAATCAACACCGATCCGACCGATCCATCATCTCCAGACCTGGATCAAGATCTCCCTTCCTCTTCTTTCAATACCTCTACTACGCTTCCGCCCCCCATTAAATTCACTTTATTTAAAACTCAATTCGAATCAGTTATTGGTTGGGTAAGCTTTCTTCGGCTGTCTTCCTTTCCCTTCCTTTTTTCTTTTTTCCTTTCTAAATTGAAATTCGAAAATTGACTTGGTTTTTACTTTTGTTTGCTAGATAAATGAATCTCATGAGATTTATGTGACTGTTTCACCGTTGATCTCCAAATCTGCGTCGATCTTGATTGTTCATTCAATTGTCAATTGGATCAAAGTCCATCACCAATCTCTTTTCTTAACCTCTACTAATCAATTCTAGATCTTCCTTCCTTCATCTCTTGCTTCATTGGTATTCAACTTGTTTTCTCCTCACAGTTTAGTTCATATCACTGATTCACATTGTGTATGTTAAGTTCTGCTCATCTTGTTGTAAAATTATCTAAAACAGGAAAAGTGACTGATCATGGTTCTGGATCATGACTCATTGATCAAAACTTATTCTAGTGTTTGGTTTTTGAATCTTCCTTGGTCTCTTTGCACTCTCAACGATTGGATCTTATCCTTACTCCAGACAGATAGCAAGACAATTTGATACGTAATATCTGGACTTGGTTCACAACCTAGGAACCCTGAAAAATTGATCTTGGGGGACATAAATTAAATGGTATATACTGGAA